GGTCCTCTCATAAAGAATTCCCCTCGATTTACTTTACTTGCTTGTTTTCATTTGTAGTTCTCATAGATTTAACCCAAAAATGTTTGCTAGATAACAAACTAAACGATTGAAGTAGGGGTACATGGATCGGCCCGGGTTTGACAATTAAATACATGCCCTATACTGCACCCGACTAGAGTTTAAAATTTTGGGCTCACTACAAAAAAGCGTTTCATTAGTGAACAAAGGTTTATGTCGGTAAAGGCCAAATGTCGTCGCAAATAGGGTTTTGTGACGCCATAAGGCTGTCGAACGTCGTTCCAAATATGAGCTTCGCAAAAACTCTCTTCATGAGGAGCAATCGTAAAAGCTGTTTTGCGACGGGTTGGGGTCATCTCTAATGCCTCTTCAAATTAACGAACTACACAGTTTTGTTTTTGTGAAGACAAAGAATCGTCGGGAAAATTAATAATCTCGTCAGCAATAAATTATCATTGACTAAGATTGACGACATTGTTCGTTTTTTTTTATGAGACATAGTAGTCGCTATGATTAAAAAAAGTCATCGGTAATACTTTTTTTACAATGTTGTCTATTTATGATGATATATAATTGTCTATATAATTAATAAAGTCATAAGTAATACATTTTTTGGATGACGTTTAATGGTATTTGGGACAATTGAACGTCGTCACATATATATTACGACGAACAAGGGATATCACAAATAAGAATTTTTATATTTGTGACATTGCTAAATATTATCAAAAAATACTATTAGCGATGATATGTAGTTGTTACGAAATTATTTGGTTTGACGAAAAAATACAATTCGCGATGATATGTTCGCGAAAAAATACTATTGGATCTTGACATAGTGTTTAACTGCTTGCCCCGCTTCTTCTTCTTCTTCTGGAAGTGAATAGTTGAAGCCTGCTTGAAACGTGCATATAGTGCATCCAATTCTTCTTTAGGAAACTGAGAGAATGTTGTCCAGGGACCATTGATATGTTGGTGGAAGATTTTACTGATTTCATGAACAGCCGGTGGTGTGATTATCCTGAAAATGGAACAAAGAATTAGCAAACTGAAAGTATACACAAAACAACCTATACAAAAATGGCCTACAAAGAATTAGCGCCAGATTTTCGGTGATAGACAACTAAGCTGAAACTAAATGGGATTCTGTACAGGTCAGTGAAGAACCACTTACATTGAAGGATGATCATATAAAAAACAACCTATACTACAAACAGGCCTATATAACCAATAAGTGTAAGATTTTCGATAATTCAATAATCAAATTATATAAAAAACTGCCTATACAAACAACACGCGTAGAAACCATATACCAACAAATTAAATTACAAGCTGTTATCAATTATACACACCTCTTATCATATATTTCAAGAGTTATGTTTTGCCCTGGCTTAACTCCTTTGCCCTTGCCTCAAACTTTCTTACTCTTTGCGGTGGCTGAAAAGAGGTACTTTTTTTTATGGGCAACCTGCTTATATTGAGTTAAGATGAAACTGCAGGTACATCGTCCAGCAACAGCTGGTCAACTAAAAAGATCGGAGACCTTTCCAGCCACACTTCTCGACAATCCCAATGAGTATCACTTCTAGACATGATATGAGCCGCTTTATTTGCTTCTCTCCTGGTATGAAGCACCATACCTGTATGGGAACCAGCTTGCCCCAAGAGCTGTCGTATGCTGCGGCATAGGACTCCCACCTCATTCATGAGGTCCGGTGACGATTTCAGAAGCTCGACAACAACAAAACAGTCCATTTCGAGTATGACCCGGGAGATGCCCAGCTGATGAGCTAGCTGCACTCCGAATTCAGCGGCCAAAGCTTCCGCCAGCTCTACATTGTGATTTCCTGAGACCTTCTTCGCCGCCGCAGCAATGAGAAGTCCCTGATGATCGCGGATCACGACCCCCAGCCCTGCTCCTCCATCCTGCCTCAGCCCCGCATCTGTATTAATCTTGATCCAGCCTTCAGGCGGTCTTTTCCATGATGGCGATTGGGCGTCGGCCGACTCAAACTCAACCTGTACCTGACACCTTTGATATTCAGCAAGCATAGCTTGAGATCGAGCCACAATTTCCTGTTCAGGCCACTTGTCTTTGTTAAAGAGCTGTGCGTTTCTTTCCTTCCAGAGTGCCCACAAAAGAGTAGCCCATCCCTCGACCTCCTCCCTTGAGCTGGTCTCCAACACCTTCGATACCCAATCAAAGCAGTCGACCACCCCCGTCACTTCAAAGGCTTTGACGAATGGGGAGGTTCTCCAAATCCGGTTGCTCCAGGTACAATCATAGAAACGATGGCGTTGGGTCTCGGATTGGTTGCAGTAGGGGCACTCATCACTCCACCTCTCACTGTGAGCGCTCACTTTCTGACCCGTCGGCAGAATGTTCCGGGAAAATCGCCAAAGGAAGTGGCGGATCTTTGGAGGGGTGTTTAGAGCCCATAACTTCTTCCAGGTCCCCCCATCTCCTGAAGCAGTAAGCCCGCTCTTGATTTTGAAATCCTCCAGCCATTGCCGATAGCCACTCTTCACCGTAAATTCGCCATTGTCACTGTGATGCCAAATGATACGATCAGCTTCCGCCAACCCTCGAAGCGGGATGGTAAGTATAGTTTGAACTATTGGCTGGGGAAAGCATCGTTGCAGCAGCTCATAATCCCATTGTTGCGTTTCCGGGTCAATGAGTTCACTGACCATAGCATCCACTGCTAATTCTTGAGGGGCCGACGTGATGAACAGGTGTTCTCCCTCCGGGAGCCAACTATCTCCCCAAATCCTCACTTGTTCACCATTTCCGATCCGCCAACGAAGGCCTTTGTTCAGGAATTCTTGCACTCCCATTAGACTTCGCCATACGTAACTCGGCTGATACCCGACACTCGCTTCCAAAATCGTGCTTCGCCTGTGGTATTTGGCTTTGAGCAATTTTTCTACAAGTGACTCCGGGCGTTGGTGGATGGACCATAACTGTTTAGCCAGCATTGCCGTATTAAATCCCTTCATGTCTCTAAATCCCATTCCTCCGTTCTCCTTTTCAAGTAATAATTCTTCTCTCCGCAGCCAATGGGATCGCCTCTCAGTGCCCTTTTGCCCCCACCAGAAATTTGTGAACAGACTGTGTATCTCATCAATGATCCCATCCGGTATTTTAAACACAGACATGGGATAGGTTAGCTGAGCTTGTACCACCGATTTAATGAGTACCTCGCGCGCCGCCACCGACATCGTTCTCTCTTTCCAGCCCTTTAATTCCTTTCTAATCCTGTCCTTCAGACCCGCGAACAGAGCTTTCTTTGACCGGCCCACCTCTGTCACTAAGCCCAGATATTTATCCTGTTTCTCCACCATCTTCATTTGCAAAGTACCCCCGACCACGGGCTTGTGATGCGGTTTGACATTTGCACCAAAGGATACCTCTGACTTTTGGTAGTTGATGAGCTGGCCGGATTCCCTTGCGTATGCCTCCAGTATTCGTTTTAACTCCGAACTCTCCTGCTGTGTAGCCCTGGCAAAAAAGATACTGTCGTCAGCAAAAAAGAGGTGGGTAATCACCAGGGCCCCCCTCACCACCTCTAGCCCATGCAACCGCCCCTCGTTCAAAGCTTTGGTTGTATAGGTCGACAACCCTTCCGCATAGAGCAGAAAAAGGTAGGGTGATAAGGGGTCCCCCTGTCGTAATCCTCTGCTCGGAATGAACATTTCAGAGCGATGTCCATTCACGAGCACCGAATACGACACAGTCTTCACTCCCATCATGATCAGCTTTATCCACTGCTCCGCAAACCCCATTTTTTGCATAATTCCCTCCAAAAAGTGCCATTCAACCCGATCATACGCCTTTGCCATATCAATTTTTGCAGCAAAGAAGCCATGCTTCCTTCCCTTGCTCTTCTTCATAGTATGGAAACACTCAAAGGCCGCCATAACATTGTCCGTAATCAAACGCCCTGGAACAAACGCAATTTGCTCTCGGGAAATGATCTTGTCAAGTAGAGGTTTTAGGCGATTCGCCAGCACTTTGGAAACGATCTTGTAGAGAACGTTGCATAGACTAATCGGTCTGAACTCCTTTGGCGAATTCGGCTGCTTCGTCTTCGGAATGAGAACAATGAGGGTATGATTGAGGTCCTCCGGCATCTCTCCTGACTCCAAGATCTGCAAGACAGTAGCGGTGACATCTTCCCCAACCAGATGCCAGTACCTGCGAAAGAAAAGGACAGATAAACCTTCAGCTCCCGGGGCTTTTCTCTGCCCCATCTGCTTCAGAGCCGTGTACACCTCCTCCTTGTCAAAAGGTTGTAAGAGCCTCGCATTGTCCTCTTGCGCCAATCTGATCGACACAGCCTCCAGGACCGGCCACTCTCCAGGGACAACACCAGCTGTGAACAAGGTACTGTAGTATTCAACCATGCATTTCGAGACCTCCTGTTGACCCACGTGCCACCTGCCTGTCTCATCACGAATCCTTTTGATGGTGTTTCTCTTCCGCCGAGCAGATGCTTTTCGGTGGAAGAAGTTTGTGTTCTTGTCTCCCCCTTTAAGCCAATCTGCTCTTGAACGTTGTTTCCAGTGCTGCTCCTCGTTCTCCAGTAGTTCGGCCATTTCGTCCTCAAGCTTTCTACATTGTTGCAAGTTTGGTTCCGACTTTGGCAACCTTTCAAGAAGCCGGAGGGCCCTGGTTATCTTCTCCTTCTGCTTGGCAAAGCGTGGGAAAGTAGCTCGACTCCACTCCTCTAAGCTTTTGAGACAGCCGGCAAATTTTTGTAGAATGTTAGGTTGGGCCGCCTGCCCCCAGGCCTCGCCAATGACCTTCGCGCAGTCTTCATGTTTAGTCCAGTAAGGTTCAAATCTAAACGATTTTCCCCATCGAATGTCCTCGTCCTCATTACCTCGGATATCACATATGATAGGCCTGTGATCCGATCTTGCCTTGTCCCAATGTCGAACTTGATAGTTGGGGAACAGGTGTTGCCACTTATCATTGGCTACAAACCGATCGAGCCTTTCTTCAATATAGTCACCTCTAACCCGTCTATTCTCCCAAGTAAAAGGGTACCCATGGAACCCCAGGTCTTGTAAACCTGACAACCGTAGGCAACTTTCAAAATTTTCCATATCCACCTCGTGCGCAATACGCCCTCCACAGATCGTACCTGGTTGAAATCACCCCCGCAGAGCCATGGACCATCCCATTGCTGGCTTAGTGAAGATAGGAGGGCCCATGTGCGCCACTTATCACTACCATTCGGCCACCCGTACAGCCCAGTGAAACGCCACCTACCCTCCTCTTCTGTAACTGCTATGTCTACAAAATGAAGAGACATATCCATTGTAATAATATCAACCTCCTCGGCCCACCAAATGCTAACCCCTCCCGCTCTGCTTCGTTGAGACATAGAAGCTGGGTAACATTCACCCTTTTTAAAACCACACGATTCACGTAACACTTCATTCTCATCCTCTGTTTGTTTTGTTTCCATAAGAAAAACCACTTGGGGGGAAGTGCGGCGCAAAAGCGCCCGCAACGAATTAACTGCGCGCTTGTTCCCCAATCCGCGGCAGTTATAAGATAATATCCTCATCTATTGCCGGAAGGGGATCGGTTCCCCGCACCATTTTTTCCATCTCTCGACTTTCCACTAGTGTTCGGTTGTTTCACTTTTGAGACCGAGGCCTTCTCCTGTTTCCGCGAGGGCCCATGGCTCCCATTAGTTGCTCCCAGCTGCTTCGTAACCTCTTTGCCGTTATGAGGTTTGGGCATGGCCTCAGCCGGGCCAGAGCTCCCCTTCGGAGATTCGTGTGCCGCGACGGAGTCTTCTCTTCGTTCCTTTCCAATTTCTTCCCGCGGCCCTAGTATGTTCTCAACTGCCTTGTTTTGGTGTCCCAGGGCCTCTGCGGGTTGCTTCTTCCCCGAGTCTCCCGTGTTCACGGGATTGGACCTCACACTGGTCTCTTCATTTGGCATCTCTGTGACCATCTGGTCTGTAATCATTCCACCATCCTCATTGACATTTATTTCAAGGTTGGAAGGGTTTGCATGGGGGTTGATCACGTCATGCATGGGCTCTTCCTCCAACACCTCAAAACGGGATCCTGTTGCATGGTTCTCATTTTGCCCCGATATGTTTCCATGGCCCCCACCATCCATAGGGCCCGCCAGAACTCCTCTTCCTCTCTTCCCGTTCCTGCCCCGAGGCTGAACCGTCATCCACTCCCCGTAGAGGTTTTGTGTGGTGCTATCTTCCTTTGGGCAGTGCGATTCAGGCTGAGGCGATGCGGGTTTTTTTGCCAGTGTTGGGCACGTTGTTTTCACATGACCATACTTCCCGCATTCGGTACAGATGCGGAAGAGCCCTTCGTACTCAATGTAGTATGTAATCCCTTCGATCTTGTATTGCGACAGCAAGGGTTTTGTGAGATCCACCTCCACACTAACCCTCGCAAATTTTCCTCGATCTCCAGTTTCTGTTGCATTGTCGACCCGAACTGGGCGTCCAATCTTCCCGGCAATGCGCTCGACTGCCTCTTTATTTATAAATTCCCTCAGGAGCCCCGGCAGGCGCGCCCAGATCATTGTCGTCGCTACTTCAGCCCACTGTGGATTAAAGTTACGCCGCCACGGTCTTACCGTGATGTAATAATCACCAATCATCCATGGACCACCAACTGCCGCTCTCTCATAATCAATCTGGTTAGTGAACCGGACAGTATAGAAACCATATGATAGGTTCGAAACTTGCAGGTTGCCTGTCTTCGCCCAGAGCGATTCCAGGCGTCGTGCAATAATCGGAAAGGGGAATGAACGTCCCAACACTTTGACAATGAGGGCCGATCGCCATTGTCTTCTCCAACGTTGTTTTTCCATAGCTGTGAAAACTATCGTAGGGCACCGTGGGTCATCGTCTTCCGGGATTTCATCATCAAGATCATCCTCTCTCATTGCTTCTGCTACGTCCTCCGAGTCGGACTCCGCCACATACCACTTGTCCTCTTCTTGTGGATCGGCAAACAGCCTGCGAGCTCTTCCACCTGACCAAGTAGAGTCCCGGTTGTGATTCTCCTGCGAGGTTTCCCTAGTCGAAGCCGACTGCGGACGTATTTCATCTTCCGCCATGGCTTCCTCCCCGAACAGCGGGTTGTCTACCATGGCCTTGGCTTTTTTCTTAGGCTGCTGGGTTTCCTTCTCCCCTTTTCCGTTAGGCGATGATGTTGGAGGGCGGCGGGGGCCGGTTCCCGCGTCAGAATTGCTGGCCACCGGGGGAGGCGCCCCCGGCGCAGGCGCAGCCATGGGAGATCGACGGCGGTTCTCGGGTTCGCTCGATTAGGGTTTTCCGGAGTCTCCGTAGAAATCGGAGCGCTCGATTTAGTTTAAGACTTGATTTAGTTTAAATATAACACAGTCGTGGACAATTAACATGTTTTGTTGATATTTACCATGCTGACTACTTTCCCCAATTGATGGAGAACTGATCTTCACTTGCACGAGCCTCTGAAGACGATCCATTAGGCGTAGACTCTTCGCGTTCGGTCACCGCTTCCACCGGTTCCACCGTTTTGCCCTCCCTCTCCTAATGCTTATGTTTATGTCCAGCCTTCCTTGGATTTCCCATCTACAAGCACAACACAATGTTAATAAGGTTGGGCTGGAAGCCAAAACGAAAGGAAGGAAACCAAAACTAAACAAAAGGAATTCAATAACCCATATGAAAGCCAAAAAGGAACTCCATACATAACCCATGTTCTGTTCCACCCTCTGAAGAACCCATAAAGCAAAAAAAAAAAAAGCGAAAAACTCATAACCAAGGTTCTTCCTCTTGTTCAATAACCTAGAAAAAACGAAACTAATAACCCATGTTCTACTTCTTCCTCTTACTCAAAACCCCAGAAAGCCAAAACAAACGAACCCTATAACTCAATCAAGTTGAAAAATTGACTGATTGCTGCAAGAAAAAAAGTAGAATAATGTTTTGTATTGTATTTTTATCTTAATTTAATCTATGCATTTCTTCACAAGTGGATTAAAATTTCGTTCATACCTTAAAGTTTAACTTGAACGAGGTCGCAACTACAACGAATATCGACATCGTCTCCAACAAAAATGTCGTAATTACCCTGAAATATAACTCTGACGGAGTTGTCAAGGTTATGCATGTCGATTGGATGGTTTAGTGTATGTATACATGTCCAGATTTATTCCTATATGCAAGTCATTTTGAGATCGCCTCTAGCACAAATGTCGCAATTACCCTTAAAGATAACTCTGATGGAGTCTTCTAGGTTATGTATGTCAATTGGATGGTTTAATTATTTGTTGACTAAGCAACTTAGTTGAAAGCCAAGTCATCGCTCTTTTAAGTTTTTGGATGAGAATAGACAGAAGTTACCATTTCGTTACACGTACAAAGTTGTATTACCGAATCGAGCAAAATGAAAAGGTTTGTGACCATTTTGTACAAAGTGTATAAGTTTGTGACAATTTTTTATAATTACCCACATTTCTTGACAAAAAAGTTGTTGCATCTTTAGACAATGTCTAAGCTTTGTAGCAATGACATAACTTGTTGATGAATTATTATTAACAAAAGTGAAATACCGTTACTAAGAGTAATTTCTAACGACAAAATTGACCTGTCAACGCTAATATTTTGTCAATAGTGGCAATCTTTTCCAATGAAGTGTAGACTTTTTCGCAAACTCAATATTTTGACGGAGCAATACAGACGACCATATTTTATTCGTAGCAGATAACCATGGCAAATACTTTTCTCTCCAAAAAGTAGAGTTAGTGACAAAGATTCTGGTATTTACCGACGACGTTTAGGCTTTGTCACAAATACATAACTTTTTGATGAATTATTATTGACGAAAGTAGAATGTCGTCCATAAAAGTCATTTTCAATAACGAAATTGACCCACTCTCGCTAATTTATTGTCAATAATAGCAATCTTTTCCAACTACATGTAGGCTTTGTCACAAAATCAATTTTTTGACAGAACATTACTGACGATCAGATTTCATTCGTAGCAGATAACCATGGCGCCAATTTTTCCCTCCAATAAGTTTAGTTAGTGACAAAGATTCTTGTCTTTATCGACGATGTCTATGCCTTGTCACAAATACATAACTTGTTGACGGAACATTATTGAAGAAAGTGAAATGTCGTCCCTAAAAGTCATTTTCAGCGACGAAATTTACCCGCCCTCGCTAATTTTTATCACTAATGGCATGCTTTTTTGTAGTGGCTCTAGTCGGAATTAATTCGCGGCGTAGTTTCGTGCGAGTGAGCTTCCAAACCTAATGGTGATACCTAGTACCATGGCTCAAATTCAAAACAAACTTTTACTAATTGAACTTGAGCTAGCTCATTTCTTAAACCAATAACTCGTGCTTCATTCAAGCACGCCTGCTATAGATTTTGTAGAAGCAGCTTCTGGCTGGAGCTTTTAGAGAATCACTTTTCAAAAAAAACAGTTGAGCGTTTTGCTGAAAACCTAGAATAAGTGTTTTTTTTTATTATAAGAGGTTATGTAAAATGACTATAAAGGATTTACAATATAAAATATGAATAAAAATTCAAAACAGCAAAAAGTAGTGAAAATGGATCTTGTTAGGTTTCTTAAATATTAAATATTAAATTTTAATAATTTATTTTATTTTTAAAATGATATTAATGAAAGAAAAATATATTTTATGCAATAAAATTACTATATGTTAAGAATAATCTTGTATTTTCAAAATAGCTTTTCGCTGAAACTCCAAATCAGAGCTTCTGCTTTTATGTTATAAAAAAGCACTTTTCAGCTTTTCAAAAGACGAGTTTTTAAAGGTGTTTGACCCTACTTCAACGTTTGAATCCGAAAATCACTTCTAAAATCCGAGTCAACACAATAATCAGAACAGGTCAATTCGAGAAATAGACCTTCACATAACAAGTCTCTTCATCTCCACGTGGCATTGTGCTTGATGTAATGTAACCCAGCAGTGGGATTCTGTTTATTTATTGTATTTAGTTTTGGATTTAGTAGTTTGGCATTGTAACTATGTCGTGGATTCTGACTACTAGGGGTTTTTTTCTTAATAATATTCTAATAGGTAAAATCAAGATTTTATAGATTTTAATCAAGATTTTATGATATTTTATGGTTTAGAGATTTAATAGTAAAATCAAGATTGAAATCTCATAGGTAAGATCGTAAAACCGTAAGATTTTAAGATTAAAATTGAGATTTTGACTACATTGATTGTAGTAACAAGTCAGAAGTAACTAACTCGAAGCGCTGAATCGAACAACTCGCAACCCGAGTATAGGGTATATGTTATCGAGTAAGTTATGATTGAAGTCACAACAATTCTATTGAACTTGATAAGTATTCTTTAGATGATTTATTGTTTAGGGTCACTACGGAAAAAGGGTTTCTTGCAACACTCAGATTACGGCACTATTTGAAACGGTTGCGTTAACTATATAATGGCAACACTTTTTTATGTGGTTGCCTATTAAGTAGTTTATGCAACCCAAATTAGTAGTTTGAAAACATGTTGCATTTGCTCTATTATACGCAACACATAAATCACAAGGGTTGCGTATGAGTATAGTTTAACCAACATTTTACCAAATTGTGTTGCAAAAAATAATAATTTTAATATATAATTAATAAAATAATATATTAAAAGAATTAAAAAGAGATGAACCAAAATTTCAATTCAACCGTGTAAAAACATTGGGAAGGAGAAGATATGCCCTGATTTTAGTTGCACCAAATTTTATCTCTTATTTACTTAACAAATTAATAAGTTTCCTTCTCAAATTAAAACTCTAGCACATCCCTTCATATTCTACTAATACACATCCCTTCCCCTTTCTACGCCACTAAGGCAGAAAGTACCAATCAATATAAAAAAAACCCTTTGCTTTTAATTCTACCACTATTGTCGTAGACTCGTAGTTGCTTCCTTCTTTTTAATTGCATCCTGCAATTTCTTTCGAATTGTTAAAATCCTCTGCCTCTACCATTGTCACAAAATATCAATTTACCTCTAATGATGTTCTCTCTTGCATTTACAGCTAACTGTCGGTCTCCATCTCTCCGAGTACTAGCGAGTAACCTATAAGCTCGTCTCCAAGATGCTACACATCTCCTCTTGCGAGAGTTTTGGAGTATGGTGCTTAACCCGTTAATTTCTAGCTTCTTGTATATTTATACATATGATTAGATTGATTCAATACTTACACCCTTATTTTTGTATTTTGACAGCAATGCCCACCCGTGCTTACGCCATATACAAAAAAGAGCAACAAAAAGACAGTCGAATAACTATAAGTTAGATGAGCCACACTCGCAATCTCCTTAATGATGAATATGATATTGGATGAGACCCAAGTTGAAAAAAGTTGAAAATATGCTAAAAGAATAATTTTTTGTGAATCAATTCTGCGGCCAAGCATGTAATTATTTGTGACAACTAGACATCGAAAAGTGTATTTGTGTCAGAACTATTACCACAATTGACATTATTTGTGACAACTATACATGTCACTGCTTGGGTTTTCGTGTCAACACTAACTCGTCACAGAAGTATCTTTTATTGACGATAACATTGTCATGCGCTTGTTACTATCTGTTACGAAAAAATTGTCATAATTGGTAATT